CTGCCTCCTGGGTTCAAGCGATTCTCCTGCCTGAGCCTCCCAAGTAGCTGGGACTACAGGCACATACCACCACATCCGGCTAATTTTTTGTATTTTAGTAGAGACGGGGTTTCACCATGTTGGCCAGGCTGGTCTCGAACTCCTAACCTTGGGTGATCTGCCTGCCTCAGCCTCCCACAGTGCTGGGGTGACAGGCATGAGCCACCGCGCCTGGCCCACCCTCATTCTCAGCAAGGAGGCTGATGCAGTCATTCAGCCCAGACAGCTGGACTTGGATTTGGCAGCCGTGGGGATGGAGGGAAGGAGAAGGGTCCAGAGACATGCAAGAGGCAGAATGAATGAGTCGAGAGGAGTGAATCCTGGCAGGGGTATAGGAGATGTGAAGAGCCTGGGCTTTTACCTGTGAGCAGTGCCACACATTGAGAGGCCCCCAGGAGACATCGGAGGACCCATCTGGGTTGTTAGGGAAGCTCCACGGGAGATGGCGCTTCCAGGGCCTTGGCACAGGGCCAGACACATAATGCATGCTAAATGAGTGAATATACATATAAGTGGAGGATTCCTTCAGCAAGCCAAGAAAGGCTGGGCGTGTGGAAAGGCAGAGATTGCGGGGGGCGGTAGTTTACGCCAGGGGACCCCAAAACAGGGGGATCCGCACTCACCTACCTGCTCGATCTCCCGGCAGCGCCGACCTAGTGCCTGGTACTTTCTGCGATTTAATTCCCGCTGGCGCCGCCGCCGACCCCGGGCTGCCTCTTCCTCTTCATCTCGCTCCCGGAGCCCTGAGCCCCCCAGACCCCCTGACACAAACTCCACTTCCGTCTCCAGCTCGCTCTCCAGGATGTGGCCCCCAAACAGGGGAGGCAGCGCCAACTCCGAGCCCGGCGGCGCTGAGAACTCCTCAAAGCCCACGGCTGCCATGGTCCTGAGGGGCAGGGAAAAGGTCAGGGGCCCTGGATCCTGGACTCCCAGTCCCTTCTCCCACTGAACCAGGAGCCCAAACCCCAGCCCCTTTTCCCTAAGACCTGGGAGTCCAGGCCCCCAGCTCCTAATCCCTCAGACCCTAGAATCCAGGCCCCCAGCCCCTCCTCCCTCAGACCCAGGGATCCAGGCCCCCAGCCCTTCCTCCCTCAGACCGTAGAATCCAGGCCCCCAGCTCTCCTCCCTCAGACCCAGGAGACCAGGTCCCCAACCCCTCCTTCATAGCACCCACAGGGTTCAAGCCCTGACCCCCTCCTCCCAGGATCCAAGAGTCCAGACCTCCAGACTTTTTCTCTCCAAGGACCCAGGGAGTCCAAGCCCCAACCCTCGACCAGACGCCAGAGTCCTGGCTTCCAACCTCCTCGTCTCTCAGATCCAGCAGTCCAAACCCCTAGCCTTCTCCTCCCTCAGGATGCACCAGTCCAGACCCCAGTCCATAAAAGGGTTCTAAGGTAAAGCAGTTGCATGAACTACAACCCCCATCAGACCTCAGTGTAAAAGCTCATATGGTTACACACAATGCAGCTGCTGTTTTCTGGGATTCGCAGTTTTTCACAAGGGCTCAGCCACTTACCCTTCTCTCTGCTCCAATTCCATCTCCGCGACCTTCGGAAGCCCCGGGCCTCTTAGCTTCCAACCTCTTAAATCTCTAGATTAAGCCGTTCGCAAAACTACTTGTCCCATCAGGCTCAGGGGCCGAGGCCGGCGGGACGTGGCCCTAGGCCTTGTGGGAGTTGTAGTTTCCTGTTTCCGGCTTCGCTTTGGCCCACCCCGACGTCCAACCCGAATCCCTGCTTAAAGGCCTTGCTTTCTTGTCTAACGTCGCAACCAGTCCTCTGAGTTGCCAACGTCTTTCTTCTTGTCTCGACGCCCCGTCATCTAGCCACAGCAATTCTCCGCTTAGCAGGATTGGTCCACAGCGGGCCGTGAGTTCGATTAGCCCCTTTCCTTCTCGCTGCTTACCGCCTCTCTCCGCCAAGTGCCAGGTGCTAATAAAGTTGTTGTTTCAAACGCGGCCAGGAACATCGCGAGTGGGGACCAATCAGAGCGTAGCTTTACCTCTATAACGGCGCGAGCATGAGACGTCATCGGTGAGCGACGAACGCTGTGGGAAAGCTTATTTCCTAGAAACAGTGCTGCGCGGAGAGGAGAGGTGAGTGTGATGGAGACGAGCGGGGAGCGGGAGGCCGGACTCCTGGGTCTGGGAGAAGAAGTGTGTGAGGAGGAAGGCGGGCCTTTACAGCTGGGTTTTTTTGTTGTTGTTTGTTTGTTTTGAGACGGAGTCTCGGTCTGTTGCCTAGGTTGGAGTGCAGTGGCGCGATCTCGGCTCATTGCAACCTCCGTCTCTAGGGTTCAAACGATTCTCCTGCCTCAGCCTCCAGAGTAGCTGGGATTACAGGCGCGCGCCACCACGCCCGGCTAATTTTTGTATTTTTAGTAGGGACGAGGTTTCCCCATGTTGGTCAGGCTGGTCTCGAACTCCTGATCTCTTGATCCGCCCGCCTCGGCGTCCCAAAGTGCTGTGATTACAGGCGTGACCCACCGCGCCTGGCAAGTTTGTTTGTTTGTTTGTTTTGTTTGAGACGAAGTTTCACTGTTGTTGCCCAGAATGGGGTTCAATGGCGCGATCTCGGTTCACTGCAACCTCCGCCTCCCGGGTTCAAGCGATTCTCCTGCCTCAGCCTCCGGAGTAGCTGGGATTACAGGCGCCCGCCACCACACCCGGCTAATTTTTTGTATTTTTAGTAGAGACAGGGTTTCACCATGTTGGCCAGACTGGTCTCGAACTCCTCACCTCAGGTGATCTACCCGGCTGGGCCTCCCAAAGTGCTGGAATGACAGGCATGAGCCACCGTGCCCAACCTTTTACAGCTTGTTTACCCAAAAGTCTTAATATGCGCCTACCATGGTGTGGCCCTGGGGATGTGGCAGGAGCAAAAATTGTTCCCTGCCCTCTTAGAGCTTTGGTTGATGCCTGGCAGACAGGCTTTATCAAATAATTACTTCATTAATCACAAATGTGTGAAGTGCCTTACTGTAGACACGCAGAGCCTGCGGGACACGTATCACAAAGCAACCTCCTCTAGTCTAAAGGGGGCCCGTGGGTCAGGGAGGTGGAATGTGAGAGCTGAAAGCTGAAGAGATGCCGGGCTGCTGGAGTGAGGAGAGCCAGACGCGGGGGGTCACTCCTGTAATCCCAGCACTTTGGGTGGCCCAGGAGAAAGGATCGCTTGAGCCCAGGAGTTTGAGACCAGCCTGAGCAACACAGTGAGACCCCGTCTCTACAGAAAAATTTAAAAATTAGCCGGGTGTGCTGGTGTGGGCCTGTCATCTCAGCTATCGGGAGGCTGAGGCGGGAGAACCGCTTGAGCCCAGGTGGTCGAGGCTGCAGGGAGCTATGATGGTGCCACAGCACTGCAGCCTGGGTAACAGAGCAAGACATTGTCTCAAAAACAAACAAACAAAGAAAAGAAAAAACAAAGTGAAGGAAAGAGCCACCGTAGTTACAAGGGACTCCTTGTACAAAGATCTGGAGGTGGGAAGAAATTGATAATGTAACCAACTCAAGTTTCTGCTACTCAGAGGCTAGAATAGGAGAAGTGAGGGATGGTGAAAGTAAAGCTTTATTGATCAAATGGTCGCAGATGAGAAATGGCCAAGCTAATGTATTTAAAAGACCGTTTCAAACTGTAGGCTGGGGAGAGGGGCTTAAAAGGGGGAACTCTGAATCGGAGGCATACAGGAATGGTGCTGGGTACAGGGTATGTGTGTCTTGCTCTGAAGGCTGTCTTGAGTCATGGGCCACCTGGAGCATGGGCTGGAATCATGTCAGTAATGGCCAGGTTTTAGATTGATCGCCTTGAGGTAATCTCTGGAGTTCTGCAGCTGGGTTTGCATACCTAGTTTGTTTCGAGATTAGCCCCTGTGGCCAGGCGCAGTGGCTCACACCTGTAATCCCAATGGTTTGGGAGGCCAAGGTGGGTCCCTCACTTGAGGTCAAGAGTTCAAGACCAGCCTGGCTTACATGGTGAAACTTTGACTCTACAAAAAAAAAAAAAAAATAGCTGGGCATAGTGGCAGGTGCCTGTAATCCCAGCTACTCGGGAGGCTGAGGCAGGAGAATCGCTTGAACCCAGGAGGTGGAGGTTGTAGTGAGCCAAGATTGTGCCACTGTGCTCCAACTTGGGTGACAGAGCCAGACTCCATCTTTAAAAAAATAAAGATTAGCCCCTGGAACTTCTAAGTAAGCACATGGATAAGCCATCAGTGCAAGACAGTGTCTAGTGGGAAAGGCGGGAAACAAAGAATTTCAGAGTATGTTTTCAAGGCTAAAGGCAATAAAGGAAAAAAAAAGTTTGCAAATGCATTTGGAATCTACACCACTTGGTTCCGGTAAGTCTTAGCAAGATGGCGGTCGTAGGGGTGTGCTGTGTCTTACACAGGTCGGAGCTGGAGACTCGCCAGTGAACAAAACAAACTAAAACACCTGTCGTCATGGAGCCTGCACGCTACTGGGGTTCATAAAGAAGGACCAGGGTTTTCTGGGGGAGAATCATCGCCAGTAATAACGAGGGACTTTGTCGGGGCAAGTTTTTAGGGAACCCTGCTCTCCCTCCCCACAGGCCTCGGGATGTCTCTGGCAGATGAGCTCTTAGCTGATCTCGAAGAGGCAGCAGAAGAGGAGGAAGGAGGAAGCTATGGGGAGGAAGAGGAGGAGCCAGCCATCGAGGATGTGCAGGAGGAGACACAGCTGGATCTTTCCGGGGATTCGGTCAAGACCATCGCCAAGCTATGGGACAGTAAGATGGTAAGAGGACAAGAGGCGTTCCTAGCCAAGGGGCTCTAGACAGAATCTCCCAGAAGGGGGTGACACAGGCTTCTTTTGGAAGAGTCCTAGATTCTGACTCTCCTCTCCTTTCCTGCAGTTTGCTGAGATTATGATGAAGATTGAGGAGTATATCAGCAAGCAAGCCAAAGCTTCAGAAGGTGCTTCCTCCCACTCTCTGCCCTTCCCCATCTCCTATGTCTCCTGCCAGGCCCCTAGGCTCCCTGGCTGCTTGTGGCTGGGTATATCTCCCCCTCAGCCTTTTCCAGAGCCTTTTTTTTTTTTTTTTTTTGTTTCTCCCCAACCCCTTCCCTTTTCCACTAAACATATACTGCATTGCGAAGTTCATGCATCTTACATCCTTTCTGTATGCTGAGCTTGGTCATGCTGGGACTTAGCTTGAGGGTTCCCAGACTTCACTGATTCACATGACCGGTTACAGGGTTTTTGCCACATCTATAAGCCACTTGTCCTATTATTTGCTTAACATATTCTTTGAGTCTGGGACTTTTTCTCTTAAATTTATCTAAGAAGGAAGCAAATTGCTACCATGAATGGAAAACTGGTATCATTTGCAAAGACAAAGTCACCGTATAAAAATAGATATATAATTATTAAAGAATCACCTAAAACCTTTTCTCACTTCCAAATTGAGAGAATACTAGCTTATCTCGTGAGTGCTCAGACTCACTCTTAGGAGGGCAGTCCTGTTACCATTCCTATTCTTTTTTTTTTTTCCGTTTTCCTTGAGACAGAGTCTCCCTCTGTTGCCCAGGCTGGAGTGCAGTGATGTGATCTTGGCTCACTGCAACCTCTACCTCCCGGGTTCAAGTGATTCTCCTCCCTCAGCCACCTGAGTAGCTGAGATGACAGGTGTGCACCACCACGCCTGGCTATTTTGTATTTTTTAGTAGAGACGGGGTTTCATCATGTTGGCCAGGCTGGTCTCGAACTCCTGACCTCAAGTAATCCGACCACCTCGGCCTCCCAAAGTGCTGGGATTACAGGCGTGAGCCACCGTGCCCGGCCTTCCCATTCTTCTTGAATGGAATTTGTTGACAACAGGAAGCCATGGGAGGTTTCTGGGGGAAGAAGTGTAGTGAGAGGGCAGAGTTTTGGGAGACTCACTGCTTGCTTGCTTTAAGGTTCACCCGGACACCCAGTTGAATCGCCCGGGTCTTTGCGCTCAACGTGCTCAAGGTCTAGTGGAAGAGGCAGGCCAGGTTCCAGACAGCTGTCGGCGGGTGGTACCAGGCTGGGGACGCTGGAGTCACAGGAGGGACTGGCTGACCCTGCCCCAGGTGCCAGGGAAGAATCGATAGCTGAATTGGACTTTAGAGCGTGAATGCATGTGCCAGGCAAAGAAAGGGAGAAGGGGGCCCAGATAGCGGCGGCCCGGGGCCTCAGGCATCTGGAGAGAGAGGGCAGGCTCTGGAGCGCGCCAGATCCTGCAGAGTTCCAGAGGCCAGGCCGAGGAATTTCTCCATCCAGAGAGTTATGGGACACAGAAAGTGACATTTCCTGATGTCAGGCCAGGCTCAGGGATGGAGTCAGACCCTGTCACACCTGGTGTCTGGTGGGGGAGGAAGACGTGAAACACCTCACAAGCAGGTGGCAGTCCCCGTTTACTGGAGGTGCACAAGTGCTGCGGGTACACAGAGGAGGCATCTGATCAGTCCCCGTTTACTGGAGGTGCACAAGTGCTGCGGGTACACAGAGGAGGCGTCTGATCAGTCCCCGTTTACTGGAGGTGCACAAGTGCTGCGGGTACACAGAGGAGGCGTCTGATCCTCCCAGAAAGGGAGGGAAGGATTCTGAGTCACTGCCGGAGTCTTAAGGACTTAAAGAGCCTTTTGAGCATCAGGGTTAGGAACAATTCTGAAGCCATCCTGCTTGGGGTCAAGTCTGAGCTCTGCTGTCTACTGGCTGTGACATCAGACAGTTAGTATTTGTATGACATTTAAACACATCTTTTTGTTTGTTTTTTGAGACAGGGTCTCACTCTGTCACCCAGGCCAGAATGCAGTGGCACGATCACAGCTCACTGCAGCCTTGACCTTCTGGGCTCAGGTGTTCCTGCCTCAGCCTCCCAGGCAGTTAGGACCACAGGCATACACCAGCATGCCTGGCTAACGCAGGCACTCCTCCAGCTTCAGGATCTGGGAGG